CTCTAAAACATAGATATTCTTATGGTTGTATTGTGCTCGAAATTGTACCATGTTTTAAAGGACAAAGTCGTTTATTCTCTTCCCCAACTTCTCGAAAGCATGACACATGAATATATTTGCAGTGCTTTTTTGCTTTACACTTTTTATAGAGTACATTTTTGTGTGTGCTTCTAAATTAAGGTTTGAATACAATACAATAAAAGATGACGCTATGATTCTGGGATGAGGGCATGGTGATGGACCGATGGTTGTCAGTTTGGGTGTGCAACTTCATTAGCCGACCAAGTTAAGCCTTTATTTGGTATTTAATTAATGTAAATTGTAAAATATATTAAAGGGAATATTGCTTCACATCTCTATGACTTTATACCAATTACGAAAATGATTATGCCCCAAAGTTCATAACTTCCTAAGAGTTGTGCTTTTTCATACATCACCTATTCATCTCCATTCACCATTAAGAGGTTTTTTTTTTGACAATTCACCATTAAGAGGAGTTGGTATATGAGATTAGATCTTCTATCTCTGCCCAACTTTTATGAGGGCCATTTTGTTCACCCCATGCCTTCCTTATTGTCATATGATTTTCACTTTTCATTTTTTTTAATATAGTATAACGTTTTACTTGTATTTGTTCTCTATATATACTCCCTATGAGGATGTCTTATAAACCTAGAATCAATATTACACATTCAATACACTATTCATCTTCTTCTCCACTTTCTAGCTCAATCTCTCCATAATTATGTATTTGGATACCCTATAATCTATCAGTTTCTTTTTTATTTTTTCATATGCAATATTGGTAACATATGAAAGATCGTAAAAAAATGAAAATAAATGATTTTTAAAAAAATTGGATTGAAATTGAAAGAGTTAAAACAATTGACAAACATAAAGTAGTTATTTGCCACATGGCAGACAATTAGGGGCGGGGTGAACGTCACCCTCCTTAAGAGGTGAACAAAAATGATTTGAATATTTATTACTACTCTGCCAATAAAAGAAATTGTGTAATTAGCACTTCCTGTCTTCTCAGAGTCTAATTTGAAAGTTATTTTACTAAAAAATTAACTGTGCTTGACATTATAGTTCTCCATATAATTGTGCTGGAAAATTAGGGGCACACAAGCAATCAATTAAGAGCAACTTTTTGTACATGATGGTGCAAAGACGTGTTGAAAACCTATCAAATTGTACGAGCAACTTTATTTACTTATTTTGACGGTTTGAAGTAGGTTGTTAGAAACTCAAAATTAATTTTGACAAAATCCCGATCACTTTGCGGTAATAAAAAGCACATTATTTGTTCTTATTAAAGGTTTCACTGTTGATCCATCTTAACTTACGTGCTAAAGACAAGAGGTAATTAAAGAAGAACTCTGTTAGGAATCAACTTAAACAACATATACAAATCGGACATCGTAATCCAAATGAAAACATAAAAAAGGATTTGCCAACATAACTCATTGACTGAACAAATTCAAACAAACAAAAACTAGAATCAAAATCACAAGTATTCTGAATTGTCCAAACTTAAAAATTTCGACCATGTCATAATATCCCCAATCCCACCCATTTCAATTTACCAACTATAGTTAACACTGATTTTGAAAAAATAGATATTGTATGTTTTAAATTCATATGGTAGAAAGAAAAACAATATGAAATGTAATTTCTTTTCCACCTAGAAATTGCCATAACTTTTTTTGGGCAATAACATAAAAAAAAGTTAGCAAATATCCATGTGACCAGTGAAGTATTTATTGATACAAAATAACAAGTTTATAGCCTATAACGTAACTTAGCGATCGATCAGCTCCCTTTGCTTGTTGGAGAGATCGAGAGAACATAACATTTTGGCTTAAAATTAAACGAAGTCCCAATACTATTTAATTTCCATCTTTTGGGTCAACTAAGTTAAGTATGTACAAGGGCGGATGGCTATAATGGGCTGAAGTCCAGAGCAACTTAGAAAATTTTCAAATTTTTTAGTGTAATTTTTTTCATTTTCACATTTAGCTCATCCCGCTAATATTTAAACCTAGTATAATTCATATTCAGCCCAGGGCATCTCGTATTCCTGGATTCGCCCCTGCGTATGTAATTCATGCACCAACTTATATTGAAGGAAAGTTTGAAGGGACATAAGAGCATCTCGCTAGAATGTGCACGGTGCACATGTGACACGAGAGATAGCCACATAAATAAATCATCTCTCTTCTTATTTGAATGATTTTATACAGTTTTAGTATGTTTTTCCCCTGCAATGTCAACTGCAATGTCAAATCTAGACGGTCTCATTGACATTGTGGAAAAAAACTTACCAAAACTGTATCAAACCATTCTAATAAGGAGAGAAAAAATTTATTTACTAATATTTATGTGGTTATCTCTCATACCACATGTGCACCGTGCATATTGTAGCATTGAAGATGCTCTAACAGATAATTAGCTTAAGTGGAAGGCTAATCTGTTGGGAGTGTGGGCTGAAGTGAACAAAACAATTCGGCCAGTTTCCTTATCTATTGTGTTGATGCCAGACTTTACCTGTCAACCCATTTATCATGATTTAGCTATGAGTACATTTGACACAATTAGCTTTTAGTAACAGTTAGTTTTTAGTACCCGAAAAGATTAAAAAAAAAGATCATTTGATAGAATTCTGTTTAGTTTGCAAATTGTTGTGATTAATTAATCCTAAAAGCTATAATTTTTTCTCAGATGTTACTCAGTGTTACAAAGATCTTTTATTTTGAAAAAAACTTTTAAAAATTGTCGTGTCAAACATGCAATTAGAAATTTTTAAAGATTTTTTGAATAATATAAAAGTTAGAAGGAAGAGACTTATACTTACCGAACATGCACTATGTATTACAGGCATTTCAGTTCATTCTGAGTTGGGGAAGTTTAATAAATCCAGACAATTACCGTGATACTGTGATAGTCTTGTTTGGTTGGAAAGCTAAAACTTATTGAATAAAAATTAAGCCCTTTAATTTACTGTCAACTTGTATCAACTTTACTTTTTGTTCACAAGCTATGATATTATAGGCTTATTAGTCAAACGAATCTGTTTCATTCCGTTGTCATTTTGTCCCATTTTTTTATATCTAAATCTAAACAATAATCCACAATCGAGACAAGAAACCCTAAAATTCATTCTTCAAATTTCAAAACATAGCCTCAAAAAGTTCTTCGATTTGACTCTAAAATAGATAACCTTTTTTGCACTCAATCATTCCAATCTATGATCGAACAATCCATTATTGATGCCTTGATGGTGTAACATTAAAATAAAATATAGGATCCATGTGTGGATAGGAAAAATCTTAGCCACCGGATGTTAGGTTTAATGGTTCAAGAGACATGAATTGTTTCTTTAGTCCAAAAAGAGAACCCAAACCCATCCCAACATACAGAATATATGGCAAGATACTAATGGTGCTTTACAAAGTTGCTGAAAACATTTTTTTTTTACTAATGCTGAAAACATTAATAATAAACATTTGCAAGATAAGATGGACTAAAAATGTAAAAATTTAATAAAAAATATTTCCCCAAAGTTAACCGGCTTCAAAACTCCATTTAATGCTTTTGAAGTGAGGAAAATTTAAGAGAAATAAAACAATCCATGGACCTCAAGCTCAAGCAACAAATACGTAGTACTACGGAGTATAAGATTACGGTTCATTCTGATTCTATTCATGCAAGTGATGCAACTACTCGTATATCATACACGGAGTAATTATTTTTATCATGTCAAAACTGACGAGTATAAATGTATAGAGAATTTTAAAATTTTAAAATTCTAATCAAATCTGAGTTTCATTTATACTTTTCCGGATCAAACCAAACATACAGAAAACATTTTCTTTAACAATATTTCGCTACGCATCCCACATTCCAAACAAAGCCTTCATTTATAATGATAAGAAAGAATGGCAGGAATAATATTTGTGAATTTGCATAGGATAAATATGCGATTAGGTTTGTAAATTGTAAAGGACACCCATATTACTAATTTAAAACTTAAACTCTCATTTTCTCTGTGGCCGATCCATATAGGTCACTGTCGCTGCGAGTGCCGACTAGGTCTCCATCGTCCTACCCCCATTTTCTCTTCCTTTCTTTTGCTCTTCTTCTATTCGAATGGGAAAGGTAGTGATTCCAGCATATATCTATGGTGATGGTGGACCGATTTGTTGACAATGGCAATGATGAGGAGATAGTGGCGTCAACTTCACTTTCGGATGGGTGGCGAATAAAGTGGCAAATGAGTAGCGGCCGCGGTAGGACATGGGTTTCCACGATTGGGCAATAACGGCTACAGTATGGAGGGCGAGAGGGATGTAGAGGGGCAGTGGGTGGTGTTGCGGCGACAAGGGAGGCGATTGGTCACTGGCTGAGGCATGGTGGTCATTAGCTGGGGCGCGATAGTCACTGGCCGTGTGGCGCTGTCACTGGCCGTGTGGCGCTGTCATTAAGGTATTGATGGTCAATTGGTCACTAGTGTGTCAGGTGTCACTGGGATTTCCACCTGGAAGGTAGTTAGTGACACTGGATGGGTATAATTGTTCACTTTTTTGAAAAATCTTGAAACCAATCCTATTTGTCCACAACTTTTTCCTAGGTATATTTTTTTTTCAAAACCCCTCATGATAAACTCACATTGAACAAAAAATGATTATGTAAAGCTAAAAACAAACTCAAAATAACAATTAAGAAACACACGTACCCTTTAATGTGATGATAATACAAATTAAAACATGATATTATGTGACTTTCCTTACACAGAGGCAAACGAATAAGCTATACGTTATTTTGATGAAGCTGGCAAAAGGGGGAAAACATACACAAATCCCACTTGCACTCCAATCATTCTCTGCCTGTTAAAGGTGATGTTTCATGGGGGAAAATTCGGAAAAACTTCATAAACCAACTGGGGTATCGCTTGGGTCAAATAGTCGAACAAACCATGTGGGAAAAGGATAGGTTTGGATAGGTCAATTTCATATGATACATATATAAGAATGAATCCATTTCCATTGGTTGAAGACGTCAATAACCTTTTCTATCAAACAGTTTCCTAGAGCGGGTCTGAGATTTACCAACTATAACCTCAAATAATGAAACTCAGAACCAATGATACGACTATATATCCACATTACAAACAGAAATATGCATTTAACTTTAGATATATTTGTAAAGCCTTTTTGTTGTCACTTTTAATAGAAGCTAATAATTCATTAATTGACAAGAAGCTGATAGAATGTCTTAATTCATTAAGATGGAATCCACACTCCCCCACAGCCTGATAGAATGGCAGACCCGTAAATGATTGTTTAATCTCATAGAAACTTCCCAGAAAGGCTGCCTAGAACATGATGCATACAAGGAGCTGCCATATTTGACGACACTCTCACACCGCCACTACAGGGTTTCAGAACCTAAAACCTTGGACTCAACCACCTCGAACCTAAGATCTTTGACTCAACACCTGACTGAGGAGTGAGGACCAATCAATTTGAGTGAGTTATTGGAAATTACAAGGGAAATTCCAGCTTGCATGCCAAACATGGGAGCGTGGGAATCACCCCGTCACAGATGCTTCCCACTTGATATGTGCAAAGCCATCCCGACATTAAATTCTTTATTCTTCTCCACCAATTACTGATCATATGTATATACACACAAAGCAGACACTGGTTCTAGCAAAAGGTTGTGGTATACTTAGTGTGACTATGACTTATCCTATATCTAATCGTCTAGGTAATGACATAATATTCAAATTTATTGCGGAACAATTTTATCCCTGCAGGAGGTATACCTTGCGATTCCCACTAAGGTTGATGTGATGATTATGCCAATGGCTGATAATATCAATTCAAACAAATAAAGATACCACCAAGTCATAAGTAATGTCTCCAGGATAGCTTCTTCTGCATTACAAAATCATAGGACGAGGTTCCCAGGAGACATTACACTCCAACTGACATACTTGCATACATATATGTTTAGCTTTCAATAAGAAAATAGATGATATGTCTTACCTAAGCATGTACTCCGTATTAATGTATAGCTTCGATTACCAAAACAATCTAGAATGAATATCAAAGTACGATTTGATTTTAACCATGAAGAAGATGATACAATAACAAAAGTAGTCATATATGCCATTCATATGCAAATATAGGTCAACATACATATCATTATGAAGGTCGTCAAGATCACCATAAACTTACAAGTTACAGACTCGCTCTCAAACCACCTCCTTGGTGGGCGGAGCAGGCTTTTTCAGGTCATCATCAACAACCTTAGCCGGAATTGCAATGTATCCCGCCCTCTTCTGTGCTGCAATGTCGTCATCGTCGAACTCATCATCCGAATCCTCAAAATCGAAACCGTGGGGCCAGAAGAGGGACCAGATCAGGTACATGGTAGCGGCTGTCAACGCTCCGCAGCCTACACCGAATAGCAACGCACCGACAACGCTCATGATATCCTTGGTCCTGTCACGAATCGAGCTGCTCACGGAGGAATACAAATCAGAGGGGATAATCGAAGCCGATGAAGAAAACCGCTTGGGTACATCTTCGGCCCCCGCTTCATCGACCTGTTCCTCAACGCCGCTGAAGGGATCGCGGAAGACGAAGGAGGTCCTTGAGGGAACAAATTTCCAGTCTTCAACTGGAATACGGGCTGAGGTGAAAAGGAAGGTGAGCGATCTAGGGTTTTGGGGACGGAATTGAGGGTAAAGGTTAGAGGATTCGGAGACGGTGGTGGTGGTGGTCGGGTAGAAAGAGGTGGAGGAGAAGAAGTAGAGGGTCTTGCAAGGGCGGGCGGTGGCGGTGACCGCGAGGAGAGCGAGCGCTAAGGCCAAGGAAGGGAGCGTCGACGAGGTCGCCATTGACGATGAACAGAGGGGCTTTCGGTGGGCGATGAGAAAATGGGTCAAAAGGAAAAACGGCAGGAAGGTGGATAATAATTGCGGGGAGGGGTAAGGATGTTTTCTTTTGATTGAAATTTGGTAATTTGGTCGGGTCTGGTCTAGTCTGGTCTAATCTGGTAAACATCTGATCTTTGTGTAATTATAACTACGGAAGTCAAGTCTGGTTTGACCTGGTCTGATCTGATCTGGTCTAATCTGATCTGGTTTGGAAATTTTGTGTCACCCTATTAAGTGTGATCGCCTATAGCATTAAGGTTGTTTTCTAATGGTATAATAATTAAACCAATATTAATATCTTTTTGATAATACTCATTTTTTTTAAAGAAATAGACTTAAATTGATAACACATCATTCAGATAATTGATAAAAATACAAAAAGACCTCTGGCAACCGCCGATCCTCGAACCAGGCTCAAAGTTTATCACCTCTAAAGAAACAATATAATTCGATGATTCATTACTCAGCGCAAATGACCAAAGACGGTTAACGCAGACCTTTCGTCACCCACATCCAAAACCACAGTCTTACAGTGAAATAAAACGCACAACCGATAGTAAACGGTGAACTTCAGTCAATTAAAAAATAGAAAAGCGAAAAAAGTAAAACTCTTGCCCCATCGCCCAAATATACTCCGGCGGCGGTTCAGGTGGAGGAAAGGCCAACAATACTGTAACTTCTTCCTCACTCTCCCTCATATTCATTATGCTTTCTGTCAAGCCTTCAGTTTCGCCATCAATCACAGATGACTTTGAATCCAGATCAGTTGCATCTTTTAACCCCAAATTTCGCCTTTGACCTTCACTCAATGATGTCATTCTCTCACTATTGTTGTCTCTGTTTCTTGTTCGATCTAAGAAGAGCCGCCCAATCTATCACATTGGCGGAAGAACTAAAACTCTAACTAGAGGGACAAACGGCCGCTTGAAAGGGAAATTAATAAATAATAAAGTTTGAATACAGAAGTACTTCACCAGCTAGTGCGGTTGGACTTAGGGAGTGTTTGCGATTGCTTCAACTTTAAAAAAGTGATTTTTTAAAGTGATTTTGGGAAAAGTGATTAATAGTAAAAGTTGGTAGTGTTTGAGAAAAAAGTGATTCTGAAAAAGTAAAAGTTGGTAGTGTTTGGTAAAATAAGTACTTTTTGTGTAATAGAAAAAGTGAGAAGCAGTTTAAAGCACCCTTCTACCTGCTTCCAACTTTTAGCTTTTAAGTGATTAATTTAAGCAGAAGCTATCATTTGAAAACACTCTTTTCAACTTTTTTTAAGCCAAAAGTTGAAAAGCACTTTTTTTAATCAACCCCAAACACTCCTTTAGTCGAAGGGACTCCAGACTAGCTAGGCGCCGAAGGGATCCCATTTTTTTTAATAAAAGGTAAAAACATAGACAAGGAGCAAAAACAAAGTTATGTACATCATGAGAGGGCATCCCTCCGAAATACTCAAGCAAAAAAATAATTGCTCAAGGATATGTTAGGGAGTTGTGTTTTGGAGGGGAGAGGAAGAGTTATGATGATTTATCAGTTCTAGTATCTTGTGTGAGAGTTTAGAAAATTGGAAGGAACTATTTGGAAGGTTCTTGTGATCTTTAAAACCTTTCATATGCTTAATTATTACGTCCCCCCAAATTGGAAGATTTTGAAAAATAAATAATTAAATGATAACTTTAACTTAATTAAAGCTGAATATAAATTCAACTATATAAATTTCTTATATCTTTAAAGTGATTTTAATTATAATTTCTCTTTAACTCCTCTCTATTCAAATTTGCAACTGTCAAACAAAAAGAAAAGTTTCCGCCTCTCCCACTCCAAGAACTAACATTTAAAGTCTTCTCCTACCCTTCTCTCCGAACTCTCAAACATACCCTAAGTTACCCTTTTAATAAAAAGGGATAGTCCTAGCATTGTTCTAAATTCAATCATAATATTAAGGCTAACTTGGATGAATTAATGTGCAAAAATACTCAGTGGATAGTAGCTATTTTACGAGCAAAATTATTTCACTGCTACCATTTTAAATGGAGTAGATAGTAGAACAAAAGGGTGAAAAGGCTAGTCAGACAATTTTGCTACTCAACCCCCCCCCCCCCCCCCCCCCCCCCCGCAATGTTTCAAACATGTTGAGTAGAGTTTCGGTATTCTTATCTTCGACCATTGACTAACTTCTTCCCAAATTTTATTAGTAAATGCACACTTGAAAGATCGACCTTTACAAAAAAACTATATACCTGCTCGCACAATGGTTGGGCTTGGGCATATATATTTAACCACCGGGCTAAAGAGATAGATGGAGTAACCAACAAACACATAAGGGATAGACTTGGGTTGCATTTTAGTGGAGTTATATGGATGAATCCACAGATAACACAAACATCCAAATGGACGTAATTTTGCATAATTAGGAGCCCGTTCATGTAACCTCCCGTAAGGGGTGTCATGTTGAATAACATAATTAGGTTGACGATTAATAAGATATACAACCGTTTGAAACGCATATGACCAAAAAGAGGGAGGTAACCCAAGATAATGAAGTAATGCCAGGCCAGTGTCAACAATATGTCCAGTGGCGGAACCAGGGGTGGGCGAGACGGTGCCGGCGCCACCCCTTCGCCGGAGATGTTAGGGTATATATGTATATAATATCCGTAGCGCCCCGGTTGTCTTCTTCCTTGCGCCTTCTGATTTCCGCCGACCTGTGCTCTGTTAAACCAGATGACTTCTTAGGGTCTATTTTTGTTTTGTTTTTCAGTTGACTCATACGACATCGTTTTGTTAAGTGTAAAAAAAAGTAGAAACGACGTAGCATAGTAGGGCTCAAAGATAGACTTTAATTTTGATTCTTATCGGTGAGCAGACCAAAGGCCGGACCAAAGACCTAGCCGCCCAAATGCTAATTCGGAAATATGAAACGACTCAGCATCTTCTGCATCTGTGCTCATCTGCTCCTTCGTATTATTTTTTTGTTTTAGTAATTTAATTTTGAATTATTTGTATTTTGGGTTGCGATTAAGGTGTTTTTATTTTTAATTGAGTTTTTTTAAGGTTGCACTTCCTCTGTAGTAATCCTTGTTTTTTTATTTACTGTTTTAGTAATCCTTGTTTTTAATTATGTAATTTAGCAGGCCATTAATATACTCCGTACAGTTTTAGGCTAAAGTTTTGTCCTTTTATTTATTTACTTTTAAGTTTTTCTAAAAATCTTTAAAAATTGACCAATAATTTATTCTATCTACTATGTACGTGTGTAAATTAACTTAAGTTAGTAAAAATGACCAATAACTTATATGCAGAGTTGCAGACATGCGGTGCGATGTAGTATATTACGTAGTACATAATTTTATTAATGATTTTTATAATTTTATTAAATATTATTACTCCCTATATCTCATTCAAAGGTTTTCACTTTCTTTTTGTCTTCCCGTTTAAAGGTTCTCATTTTCTTTATTAAGGAATAATTAACATTCTTAAATAACAATTTAATCATCAATATTAAAATAATATATTTATGACATAACAATTATCATCAATAACTCATTATTTATATATTAATCAAAATATTTGTCAAAATATATTTGAATTAACCTATTTCAATATTGTTTAAATAATCGTGTCATTTTGTAATGTAAACCTTTGAAAGTATGAGACAGAGGTAATATTTGTTAGATTACCTATGTGTAGTTGATCCCAAAATTTTTTGGGAATAAAGTTTAGATTTTATTGTTGTTAGGTTATGTATGTTATATTTTCTTATACTTTTTTTACAATTTCAGTATTTTGAGTTTTGAAGAATTTCTTAACCGCCCCCCCTCAAATATTCTTCTGGTTCCGCCACTGAATATGTCTAATCGACGTTCAACTAACCTGTTATGTTCTGGAGTATGAGGGGGAGTGGTAAATGGGATATACCATGATCATTTAAATATGACCGGAGTTTAAGATATTCATCACCGTTGTCAAAAAAATTAGGACGCAATTTTGTGTTGAAAAATATTTTTCAACAAGACGACTAAAACGTGGAAATACACAAGACACCTCAGATCCCCCCGGAAGATACAATCAAATTTAACGAGTATAGTAGTCCACAAAAATGACATAGTAACAATACCCGTCAATAGATATGTTGGAGGTGCTCCAAACATCATTATATAGTAGTTTATGTGGATGTGTCGCATGACATGACATCTTTATTTCCACTAATTAATAAATTAAAGATGTGGCTAGATGGATGACCGAGAGTGTGATGCATTGAGACTGAGTGGAAACTTGAGAGTTATTGACTTGAGGTGACATTGAGGATGATATGTAGTACACATCCAAAATGTTCTCTCCTCGCATGATCAATGCCCCCGTGACCCGATCCTTAACAATAAAATGTGTAGGAAAAAATTCAATAGAAACATTGTTAGTTTTGCATACTTTTGCCACACACACTAGATTTTTATTAAGATTAGGAACACAAATGTCATTGGAAAGTGATAAGGAACGAGAGGGGGTAGATAGGCTGGTGGAACCGGTGTGAATGATAGACAAGCACTAACCATCACCAAGACAAACCTCATCCGGGTTTACCATATTCAATGTAAGTGGGGAGGATGTTTACATTGGATACCACATGATGAGAGACCCCATTATCAAATAGCCAGATTTGTTTCGCTAATGTGGATGCAACCATAGTAGTGTTTATAGCCATAAGTGCGAATCCCTGTGTGGCAAGTGAGATTTTGTTGTCACGTAGAAATCGTAAAAGCTCTCGGCAATGTTGAACAACATGACCAGGGATGACACAAAACCTGCAAAATGTACTATTATTTGTGTCGCGAGAGGTGGCGGAAACATTCCCACCCCAGCCACACATCCATATGACCTCGACGGTCAGTGCCATGGAAATGACGAAGATTATTGTTGGACACTTGAGGGGATCCATACGGGTGACCAGTGCTATGAGTGGGATTTGCCATATGAATTAGTGAGTGAGTAGAGTGCCATATCATCCAAATGAGTCTCATGTTCCAATAGGATGTCTTGCAATTCCATCAATGGGAGA